GTCAGAGATAGCCACAGGAGTTATGCTAGGCAATGCAGGGTCCACCCAAGGAGAAGGCTGGATTTTGTTGGAAGTGTGATGGGGAGCTATTTGTGACTTTCAAGAGAAGTGACCTGAACTACTCTGAATCTTTCATTGCTGTTATGGATGTTTTTCTCTTTCTGCTTTCATGGTCCTTTCCTGTGGCACTGAGATGGGCGGGCACTTTTTCAAGTTGTCTTTTGCTTTTATCAACACTACCATACGGGTGACAGCTTACACAGATGGACATTCTCCCTCTCTGCCAAAACTGGAAATATTGAAATATCTGGAGCTTAATAGAAAGCTGTGGGGTAATTAATTTCTTTGGATTTTAGGTAACAGAACCAGCTCAGATTATCTAGGAAATTTCCCTTGGAAAGTTGATGGTGTCCTGTGTCTTTTGGAATGTAACAAAGAGGTCCACCTAAGCCTTAGGCAGCAGAGCTGCTGTGGGGATGGTAGTAGAAGCTATCTGTGGATGGGGTGCACAGTTCCTACAGACAGGAGGTACAGATGGTGTCTTATGCGACGTTTTGTGACTGCTCTGTGGCCACCAGTAGCATGCTCTGTGTGTGTGCTTTGTAGGGCAGGGGCTTCTGGGTGAGAGGCTCACCCCTGCTCTTTCCCCTGCAGAGCTGACCTGAACATCTGGATTGCAAGTTGCTTGAAGCAAGAACTAGTTTTATCTCACTTTGTATCGCCTCACATAAAACTGACAGCAGAAAATATTTTCAGTGTTTAGTTTTGCTTTGGGCTGTGTCCTTCATGATCCCAAAGCTGTCCCTGTAATGATCTATAATTACAGGTCTTATTTTTCATTTTTAAAAGATTTGCTGATAACTTGGCAAGTAGTTATAATTTTATTGTGAAGAAAATTTCCCTTTCTTCTTCTTCTTCTTCTTCTTCTTCTTCTTCTTCTTCTTCTTCTTCTTCTTCTTCTTCTTCTTCTTCTTCTTCTTCTTCTTCTTCTTCTTCTTCTT